AGATAACACTATAATTTGCACAATGGTTGTCAAGATCAATTGTATTTTGTGTTATTTCCCCTGGTTTAATAATACTCTAATATCAATCCCAAGCTTACAGTAACACATTTCTTATTATTTCAATTAATACAATGCACAAGATTTCATATTTTCCAGATCCCATTTATGTGTATCTTTTGTATTTTAGTATCTTCCACAAGCCTCATGTCATTATGAAGAATTTCACTTTACCTAGGAAATCAGTAAATATAAACACTGGGCTGAAATTAGTAATAATTTAGTTCCCATTCTATACATATTAGTGTTCTATACATATTCCATTCTAAACATATTAGTGTTCCATGTTTCATAGTTTAGGGACAAAGTAATATCCTGAATAATTTTTAAAAGCTTTATTTATTTGAAAGTCAGGCACACAAAGAGGGGAGGGGGGAGAGGGGAGAGGAGAGAGGAGAGAGAGGAGAGGGGAGAGGGGAGAGGGAAGAAAGGAGAGGGGAGAGGAGAGAGGGGAGAGGGGAGAGGAGAGAGGGGAGAGAGGAGAGGGGGAGAGGGATAGGTCTTCCATCTGCTGGCTCACTCCCCAGTTGGCCAAAATGGCTGGAGCTGAAGCCAGGAGCTTCTTCTGGGTCTCCCTCTCGGGTGCAAGCCCAGGACTTGGGTCAGCTTCCACTGCTTTCCCAGGCCATAGCAGAGAGCTGGACCCGAAGTGAAGCAGCCGGGATTCAACCAGTGCCCATATGGGATGCTGGCACTGTAGGTGGCGGCTATGCCACAGCACTATGCTCAATAATTTTTTGATAGATAACACTACTAATCTGTTACTGGAATGACAGCAAATAAATCTTTCTGCTGTGAAAGTAATATCAAATCAATTTTGCATTCAATAAATCCAATCTGCACACAGTAAAGTTTCCTGTAGTATTAGACTATAGTGTATGGCATCTTATTAGGACCCTTAAAAATATTTAGTTATTTATTTTAAAGTAAGAGCTACAGAAACAGAAGGAAAGATGAGGGAGAGAGAGGTCTTCCATTCACTGGTTCACTCCTCAGATGGCTGCAATGGTCAGCACTGGACCAGGCCAAAATCAGGAGGCAGGAGATTCTTCTGGGTCTCCCATGTAGGTGGCAGGGGCCCATGCATTTGTGTCATTTTCTGCTGCTTTTCTCAGGCTATTAGCAGGGAGCTGGATCAGAAGTGGAACAACTGGGACATGAACCAGTACCCATATGGGATGCCGGTATCATGGGCAGCTGCTTTGCCTACTATACCACAGCCTGGCCCCAAGGAATTTTTGAAGTTTAATTATTATTTAATATTGTCCTAAAGAATGAAACCTTACTCCTAAACAAAAACTTACTTCAACCAAAATTATAATAAAATATCAATAGTCCAAAATAAAATGGCAAGATATAAAAATTAAATACAGGTCTGCGAAAACACAGCTGACATTGTTAGTATAGTACAGTGATTAGGATACTGCCTCTAACTAGCTTGAGAATTTCAACAAATTGCTTATGCTATTTCTATGATTTCATCATCTTGACAATGAAGAATTACCTGTCCACATCATGCAATTATGAAAATCAAGGATAGCACCACATACACAGTATTATAGTGGTGACTCACAAATTGTGAGGGCTATTTAAAGTTTATACATTCAGGGGCAGGTGTTGGGTGCAGCAATTAAGACACTCCTTGGGACACTGCTATCTCATACTGGACTGCCTAGGTTTGAGCCCCAATTCTGCTTCCAATTTCAGAATTCCTATTAATATACATCCTAGGAGGGAGCAGGCGATGGCTCAAGTACTTGCATTCCTGCCATCCACACAGTAGACCCACACTGAGTTCCAGGCTCCTGGTTTTGGTCTGCCCTACCCAGGTTATGGCAGGTATTTGCAGAGTTAACAACAGATTGAAGATCCCTTTTTCTTTCTCTCTGCCTTTCAAATGCATGAAAAAAAAGTTAATAAAGATTATGCATTTAACCCAGGTAAGGCTATTAGCAAAATAAAAAAGTAAATATTCCCCAGTAAAAATATAAGAATATGAACCCATCCTGTATCTTCTGGCACTGACAAATAACATCTGGAAACTGGTAGAATGACCTCTAGGAACTTGGCAGTAGAATTATCTACATATCTCAGACTAAGGCAACAATCCTGAGTATTGGCTCTCTACTATTGTTTCTTCCTTTACTGCACTGGATGCAGATTGAGTTCCATATATTTGATTTTCAACCACTTAATTCTAGCTATTTCTCAGTCATTTTCTTTAAAGATATCCACAAGATCATGGCAACTTTTAAACTGAAACATTTCTTCAAATATTTTGAATGCAATTTTTTTTTCTATTCTCAGAGTCCAAGGATGTGTCAATTTGCACCACCTTCCTCTTAAGTTTATCTCCAGATGTCTCAATAAGCTCCAAGAACCCTAGGTGGGGAGAATTTAAAGCTTCCACATATATTGGATTTTCCACTCTCCTTTGCTAGATTCTGTATATGCTGATAAATATCATTGTTTGTATGCATATGGTTTGCAAATAGAGCAGCAAAGAATTCCAAGGGAAAAAAATTGTATACTGCTCTCTGAACTTCATGACAAAAATCGCAACTATGATATGCAGCACTGTTATTATTCTCTATCATTTCACGTTTGTGTTCATGATCGGGGCCTGAGGTAGACACAAAGCAGCAGGTCAAACACGTTCAAGAAATAACATTCATTCCAGTTTCTTCTAAATTTTTTTGGGGGGAGTGATAGGTAGCTTTTTTAAATTAAATACAGATGTTGTAGATGCACAGTTCAGTGGAATCACACCGATGGAACACAAATCTTCATGCAACACATAGATCAAGAGGAAACTTATCCTCAGATCCCCAGAATCTCTCTTCTGTCCCCTGTAAGGCACTGTTGGATATATTTGTAACAGTGGAACTGCTGGGATGTATATTTACATCTTTTCTAATATTAGGGGGTCAGATCACTATTGTGTATTGTACTTTCTACCAATGGAATCATACAGCAAGAACTTTTATATTTGGCTTTTTCTTAGCACTACTGTATAGGATTCCACTGTGTAAATATCAAACAATCAAATGTTAATTGGTATGTGAAGGTTTTTTGGTTTGGGGCTATTGTGCTTAGCACTGGAGTAGCATCCCTTAATTTGTCCCTTTCTTTCTGTAACCTGGCTAACAATCAGAGTACTTTGATTGCCTCGTGACCTATTCAGCTACCTGTTTTTCCCAGCAGGTTTGAGCCCACACAAGGGCCTTGACTACTCTCAGGCAATGATAAAGGTGTTTAGGTAGTTGTAAGAAGCTATCTCTGGCCCTGAACCAAAATTCCTTAACCCTCATATAAACTGCACACCCAGACACCCTCACTGTGGATACTTACGCATCCCAAGGATAAACTACAGTATTTGAGAAGGAATTTCCCTAATAAATGCATTGGATGACCACAGTGTGTTTAGTGCATCTTTCCTTGGAATCCTAACCAAGTCTTATCTCAGCTTGGTTTGGGCATTCCCTTGAGGGAACTCAGCTCCTGTTGCTTTCGGGATGACTCCAGCCATGGTTACAGCAGGCTGGAATAGCAGGTAAATAAATTCTGAAAGTTGACTTTTGTTAATATATCTTAAAATGTTCTTTGTAATGTAGAAATGAAATGGAATTACTGGGTAATAGATTTATAGCTTTTCCACTTAAGTAGACATGACCAAACTATTTTCAAAATGCACCAATTTTAACATACATTAGCAGTGTATGAAATTTCTGGATTACTCACATCCTCACCACATATCATGCTTAGTATTTCCTGCCATTTTTATTTTAGATTTCTAGCTGGTGTATGATGATACTAAGTAGTGGTTTTATTTGAATTTTTGTGATTACCAAGGATATCAAAAATTTCCTCACATTTATCATTCATTAAATAATATCTTGAGACTTCTGTTGGAATATTTTCTCTATATTTTATTCTACTGTGTGATCTGTACAACTTCATCACACTGGATCTCCCCATGTGTGTGTATGCAAGTGTGTTGACACCGTCAGCCCTCAATTTATTACTGCCTGATTTGTCATTAAATTCATATGATTAGTGTTTCTATGCTGTTTAAGAAATATTTTTTTTATTTTCTAAGAACACAGAATTATTCTTGTTGCTATCTAAAATATTACTCATGTTTAAAATTTAGATCAGAGGTCCACGCAGAATTGATTTGCTTTACGGAGTAGGTAGTAAATGAAGTGGTCTCATTTTTCCCCCTGTTATGGTTTGGCTGTGCTTTCAGTGTATCTTCAAAGGATCAGGTGCTGCAAGATGAGTCTTCAGTGTGATGTTGGAAGGTGGTGGAACCTTTTAGAGGTGGAGACTATTGGAACATGATTAGGTTATTGAGGGTGCTGCCCTCAGAAGGGGTTAATAAAGTTCTTACAGCTCCAACTACATTAGTTCCTGACAGTGGGTTGTTATAAAACGAGCAACCTTGGCCCTCGAATCTCTCTTCCTTCTTGCCTTACGATGTGATCATTCCCTCTTACAGATGCTCCCATCATGATGCCATCTACTATGTTGTGATGTAGTCAGAAGGCCCTCACCAGAGCTAAGCAGATGCCAGAATCATGCTCTTACACTTGCAAAACTGAACTAAATAAGCCACTTTTTGATGCTACAGCAGCAAAGCAGATTAAGGCACTATAAGACTAGAAAATATCAATTTATCCTGAAAATGTCATACTTTTTTCCCATTTGCTCTCACTTTTCATTGTTTCTCACCAGATGACACCCAACTCATCCCAAGAGCTTGACTTTTCCATGAAACACATCAGTAATTGACTTCATCTTTACATGCATCTTGATGTCTTTGGAAATCTCACAGGAGCAAACAGTGACAGTATCTTTTGATAACAAAAACCTTTAATGAGCCTTTTTACATAGAGGAATGATTATTGCCACAGTTTAAGAAAAATGTGCTGAATGAAACAATGGCCTCCAGGACTTTGGCAGCAGGAATAATTTTCTTGTCACAGACTGTAGTTGGAATCCTGGGCAATTTCTCTCTTCTTTATCACTATCTTTTTCTTTACTACACTGACCGCAAGTTGAAGCTCATAGATTTGATTCTTATGCACCTAATTATAGCTAACTCCTTGGTCATTGTCTCTAAAGGAATTCCCCAGACAATGACAGTTTTTGGGTTGAAACATTTATTCAATGATTTTGGATGCAAACTTCTTTTGTACGTTCAGAGAGTAGGCAGAAGTGTGTCCATTAATACCACCTGCCTCTTGAGTGTCTTCCAGGTTATCATGATCACTCCCATGAACTCTAGTTGGAAGTACCTTAAAGTAAAAGCCCCAGAGTACACTGGCTACTCTATTTCTTTCTGCTGGTTCATGCACATGGTGGTAAATTTCATTTTTCCTATGTATGTACTGGTCAAATGGAATAGCAAAAATACCACAAATAAAAGAGATTTTGGGTACTGTTCCTCTGCGGGTAATGACAAAATCACAGACACACTATATACAGTATTGCTAGTATTCCCTGAAGTTTTATTTTCTGTGCTTATAATCTGGTCCAGTGTCTCCATGATTCTCATTCTATACAAGCATAAGCAACAGGTCCAACACATTCATAGCATTAATGTTATGTCCAGACCTTCCCCTGAGTCTAGGGCCACCAAGAGCATCCTTGTCCTGCTGAGCACCTTTGTGTCTTTTTACACAATCTCCTCCATCTTCAATGCTTGTATCGCCCTTCTCTATAATCCCAATTGGTGGCTGGTAGATGCTACTGCCTTCATTTCTGTGTGTTTTCCAACTCTAAGCCCCTTTCTTCTCATGAGCCGTGACTCCCCTGCATTCAGATTTTTTTCACTGGGTAAGGAGTGCAAATCTTCTAATATTATCATAAATATGTAAACTGCATGGTTTTGTACAATGTTCAGTTGTTTAGTCACTCATCATCCTCAGAACATCAATACAAAAATTACAGTCACTTGTCTTTCTAAGGCAAACCTTAATGGCTATTGGAATTTCTGCAGTTGGCTGAACGTGAGACCTACAGGAGCACAGAGGATGTGAATAAAGGTTATGCTCATCCCACTACATAGCGTTGTGGTGGAATGAGAAGGCCATGCCAAGGTGGCCACTGGTAAGCGAGCATCAGTTATTCAGGAATAGCTTTGAAACCCACCTGGCAATGGAGCCTGCCTGGCAACAGGCTGTGATTGGATGGCTTTGGAAACTGCCTGGCAACAGGCTGTGACTGGATGGCTTTGGAAACCTCCTGGCAACAGGCTGTGATTGGTTGGGGCATAGACCGCCCCTTGACCAGATTGGCTGCTCTTGGCTATATAAGATGTGGTTCCAACTGTAATAAACGAGTCTGTGGGCTGCTCGCCTCAAGCCTGCTTTCACCCAACTCCCAGGGTCTGTGTGGTGACTCCGCGCCTCTTGCCCCCACCACACTGCTCCTCTCAGAAACGAATCCACTGCAACATTGTTGAGAAATCAACTGCAACATCGTGTTCCTATGGATAGTAATATTTAAAAAAAATTTTTTTTTTGACAGGCAGAGTTAGACAGTGAGAGAGAGTGAGAGAGTCAGAGAGAAATCTCTTCCTTTTTCCGTTGCTTCACCCCCCAAGTGGCTGCTATGGCAGGCGCACTGCGCCGATCCGAAGCCAGGAGCCAGGTACCAGGTGCTTCCTCCTGGTCTAATCTTAAACATTGCTTGAGGCAAACTGAATGGATTAGGCCTGAGGCCTTCAAAGTCAGTCTGATCTAGTAGTATACTATGGGGAAATCTGCCAGAAGCAAATTCAGTGAATAAATGAATGGATAGTGTTGGAAGACAATTCTCCAAGGGTTTCTCATACATGTTTGTGTTAGGAAAAGCTTTTGTTTTGGACTGTGTCTTTTGGTGGATATTTGGGCAAACAAGAACCTTGGAAGATAGGGAGAGTGTCACCCTGTCCAACAGTCAAGAGGCATGCTTCCTATATAAGGAAATAAAGATTTATCTCTGGGGCAATAGGTGGCTGATTTGCTAGCAGTTCCCTTTAAAAGACTGAGTTAGGCCAGCGCTGCGGCTCACTAGGCTAATCCTCCGCCTGTGGCACCAGCACCCCAGGGTTCTAGTCCCAGTTGGGGCGCCAGATTCTGTCCCGGTTACTCCTCTTCCAGTCCAGCTCTCTGCTGTGGCCTGGGAAGGCAGTGGAGGATGGCCCAAAGTCCTTGGGCCCTGCACCCACATTGAAGACCAAGAGGAGACAACTGGCTCCTGGCTTTGGATCAGTGCAGCATGCCAGCCATAGCGGCCATTTGAGGGGTGAACCAACTGAAAAAGGAAGATCTTTCTCTCTGTCTCTCACTCTCTAATTCTGCCTGTCAAAAAAAAAAAAGTTAAAAAAAGACTGAGTTAACCTATGCTCAAAGATACTCAGGTGCTCTGCTTGGGTAGCCTTTCACTCTAATTGGAATGGGTGGAGGGCAAAGGAAACTAACAATCAGAAAGTTCATACTGTCTGCTATGCCGTGAGTAACAGATTTCTTTGTTTTTAACATAAACTATTGTGTATTCTGACAGAATCTATAAAAATATATAAAATATAAAAATCTGACAGATCTATAGAAAAAGAGTTGCAGGCTTATCTCAGACTTTCACAGTTTCTAAAAATAAACCACTAAGTGTGATTCAAAACTAGATGGATAGATAGAAAGATAACTACATTCTTTAAAAGTTGAGTTTACTGAGGGTAGGCATTTTGACACAGCCAATAGGGATACCCACATCCCCTATCAGAATTCTTGGATTCAAGTCTCCACTCTGATCCCAATTTAAGATTCCTGCTGCAGATGATGGCTCCAAGTAGTTGGGTCCATGCCATCCCTGTGGGAGATCCAGATGGAGTTCCTGACTGCTGGCTTCAACCTAGTTCAACCCATGTTGTCATAGATATTTGGGGAATGAACCAGTAGATGCAAGGGCTCTGTGTTTGTCTGTCTCCATTTCTCTGTGTCTTTCAAACGTAATAAATTAATATTTTAGAGTTGGATTTACTATTCTCCAAATCATAAGTTTCAGGATAGGCCAGCGCCGTGGCTCAATAGGCTAATCCTCCACCTAACGGCGCCGGCACACCAGGTTCTAGTCCCGGTCAGGGCGCTGGATTCTTTCCCGGTTGCCCCTCTGCCAGGCCAGCTCTCTGCTGTGGCCCGGGAAGGCAGTGGAGGATGGCCCAAGTGCTTGGGCCCTGCACCCCATGGGAGAACAGGAGAAGCACCTGGCTCCTGCCTTCGGATGAGCGCGGTGCGCCGGCCGCAGCATGCCAGCCGTGGCGGCCATTGGAGGGTGAACCAACGGCAAAAGGAAGACCTTTGTCTCTCTCACTATCCACTCTGCCTGTCCAAAAAAAAAAGAAAAAAAAAAGAAAAAAAAAAGTTTCAGGAGAAGGATATATTTTTGGGAAAAACAATTTGTCAAAAATAGGATGCATGTAAGTTTTTGGGAAAGGTAGGGACACGAGAGAGATAAGAGCAAGAATAATAGGTAGTGTATAACATAGGTAGAGAAGGAAGATACAGGGGCTGGCACTGTGACATAATAGGCTAAGCTTCTGCCTGCAGTGCCCGCATCCCATATGGGGAGCTGGAGTCCTTGGCTGCTCCTCTTCCCATCCAGCTCTCTGCTATGGCCTGGGAAAGCAGTAGAAGAAGACCCAAGTGCTTGCACCCCTACATCCATGAGGAAGACCCACAAGAAGCTCCTGGCTCCGGATCTGCCCAGCTCTGGCTGTTGAGGACTGAACCAGCAGATGGAAGACCCTTCTGTCTCTCCCTCTCTCTGTAACTCTGCCTCTCAAATAAATAAATAAAATCAGAGGGGGAGAAGGGAGGGAGAGAGCGAGGGAGGGAGGGAGGGAGGGGGAGGGAGAAGAGGAAGATACAGATGCACGATGGGAAGAGTACCATAGGGGAATTTAAAGAAAAAACAATTATAAGAGGATATTAAAGTATTTTTGGTAGAGTTAGGGATGGTAGTCATCTTCACAAATCTTCAAAACAGCCAACAGGTCCCTAATGTTTTCCTGTGCAATAAATTCTTTTGGGAATATTTGAGGCACTTGAATTTTAAACTTGTGTTTGTATAAGAGAAAAATCTAATTTTATGGAGAAATTTGAGTTGAGTGCAGAGGGGATTCTGATGTTGTAAACCCCCTACATACTAGCGTAAATTCCCAGAAAAGTTCAGCATTTTAAGACTTTAGAAGTGGTATAGTAAGATTAAGATCTTCAACAGGTGAAATCAGACAGTAAGATGGATTAAATATGAAATAAATAGTTTTCTGAAGATATCTTTTTAAGAAAAGTTTGACAGGCACAATGATGAGGATGGAAGAGAGACACAGCAAGAAAGAGAGATATCTTCTATCTACTGGTACCCTCATCAAATGCCTGCAACAGCTGGGATTGTTCCAGGCTGGAGCCAGGAGCCCAGAACCCCATCCAGGTCTCCCAGGTAGGTGAAAGAGGGCCAAGTACTTGGGCCACTTTCTACTGCTTTTCCAGACACACTAGCATGTAGCTGGACCAGAAGCAGATCAGCCGGAACTTGAACCAGTACTCCAATATGGGATGCTTGTATTGCAAGAGGTGGCTGAACTACTACACCACAACAATGGCCCCAGAAGACTGTCTTTTACATGACAAGAAAAGAGAATGAATTGAAGGGAGGGCCAGAGAGAGTAGAAAGATTGAATTGGCCCTGCAGAGTTGAAATCTGCTAGCTTGGACAGTAGAAGGAGTATAACAAAAATTTTCATGCTGTTTTGACCTTGTTTTGATGCTCTGGCTAAAGGCCAGTCAGTTCTCCTTCTGGAGCAGACAATTAAGGCCACACATCCAACCACAAGAGCTTCTTGTGGAATTTTAACTTGCCCTAATTCTATCCCTACTTCCTCAGCTCAAATGAAGCCTCGAAAAGTAACCACTTTGCAAACAGAGCAGCCATGAAAATCAGCATCCTAGTAGCCATTAAGAGGGAGTGAGAGCTGAACACCCTAAATGCCTCCCTCCCCAGAGAATATTCACTATTGAACCTGTCTGGTAACTCATTGAAAACTCAGTTCTCATAGATTTTCTCTATTTGACCTGACTCAGAACTTGATGTGTGTGAATAAATCTGACCCACAGTGCATTTGCCAAAAAACTATGGGGAGCAATTCTTTAACACTGGAGTGTTTAGGTGAGTGACAATGTATTGCTGTGTGACAGAAGATTGAGAAGAGGGCACAAGAAAGGAGTTAGTGTAAGATCTTGGAGCACGTGGCTGGCACTGTGGTGTAAGGAATACAGCTGCCAACTGCAGTGCCGGCATCCCATATGGGTGCCAGTGTGAGAACATCTGCTCCACTTCCAATCCAGCTCTCTGCTGTGGCCTGGTGTGGGGAGCAACTCAGACTAGACTAAGTTACTCAAATTAAGACTTATTCTATGCATCTGCTCTCCCACAATATGGCGCTGGGAGAGGAGGAAACAGCTTCTACACAGCTGCCTCCAGTTCAACCAATAAACTGTAGGACCTGCTCCTGATTGGAGGAGAGCAGAGTACTCGGTGTGTGGGTAGCAGAGTTGGGATTGGTGGAAGAGGACTATAAAGGAGGAGAGAGACAACATGCACCAGGAACATCTATCTGAAGGAACACCTGAGCAGCCCCGAGAGAGCCGGCTGGCGGTGTGCCGCTCCCCCGCGAAAGTGGGGAAAGTGGCAGGGGGAACCGCCCTTCCACGGAGGTGGAAGGGTCGGCAGCCAACCCGGGAAGAACCAGCAGCAAACCCGGGAAGGGCCGAGCAAACAAAAGAACAGCGCAGGGTCCTGTGTCATTCCTCCACGAAGAGGGGGAGCGACAGCCTGGGAAAGCAGTGGAAGATGACCCAAGTCCTTGGGCCCCTGCACCCATGTGGGAGACCCAGAAGAAGCTCCTGGCTCATGGCTTTGATTCGGTGCAGCTCTGGACATTGCAGTCAATTGGGGAGTGAACCAGCAGATGGAAGATCTTTCTAACTCTGAGTTTCAAATAAATAAATAAATAAATCTTTTTAAAAAATAAGATCTTGGTGCAGAGAACCTACGGAGTAGGATATAGAAAGTACAGGGGGAGAGAAGGTAGAAAGAGAAAAGTAAAAGGGATGTTAAATATTGCTTGGGAGTTAAGTGCAACACTGATTACAAGGAGGCAAAATATGTAAAGAAGTTACAGGTATAGAGCTACTAAGATCTGGGTGGAGGGTGGGGGCTGGCATCATGGTGCAGTAGGTTAACCCTCCGCCTATGGCAGTGGCATCCCATATGGGCGCTGGTTCTAGTCTCAGCTGCTCCTCTTCCAATCCAGCTCTCTGTTATGGCCTGGGAAAGCAGCGGAAGATGGCCCAAATCCTTGGGCCCCTGCATCCATGTGGGAGACTGGGAAGAAGTACCTGGCTTCTGGCTTTGGTTCAGTGTAGCTCCAGCTGTTGTGGCCATCTGGGGAGTGAACCAACGGAAGGAAGACCTTTCTCTCTCTCCCTCTCACTATCTGTAACTCTACATCTCAAATAAATAAATAAAAAATCTTAAAAAAAAAAGATCTGGGTGGGAAGGAATATAAGCTGTCGTGGGAACAAAGGGGATAATGGCAATGCACAGTTATTGAACAAAAGTAGAGCAGACATGAGATTAAAACATATGATGTGTGGGGAGGGGGAGACAGAACAGCCAGATCTTGGACAACTGTACTGTACTAAGGCAGACATAAAGTGTAGGTAAAGAAGGTAGAACCTAGGGGAGATAATAGGCATGGGGAGAGTGGGGAACAGGCACAAGACAATGCAGGGAACTGGGCAGGGATTTTAGGGTGATGGGTAACAGGTAAGAACATGTGTTAGATTCAAGGGGGAAGTGAAAGATGCCTGAAAGCTGAAGGCTATGATTTGAGAATACTTGGGCATGGGTTGAGGCTTTGGAATTTGGAGTAGACACAGGGCAAGAGGCAGGAGCAAATGATTGACAGAGCTGGCAAGAGTAACTGAGGTGATGAGGGTCAGACTGAGGTCCCTGGAATAAGGGTCACAGAGGGATGCACATCAAAAAGGTCACAGGATGAAAGTGGGCATGGTATACAATATAGCAGAGGAGCTGGGTGGGAACGAGGGATAACGGCGATTTACTGGATTTCTAAGTCACTGGGTGGAGGGGATGCAGGATGTTGCAAGATGCTCTCACAATAGTGACCCTCACCACCTTTTTCTGACTCCTGGGCCTTACCCCCTGCACACACTCCTCTGCCACTCCCCTCAGCCCAGCCGGCTGCACTAACTCAGGGGTGGCTCCGACTCCACGCCCAGTCTGCGACAAGGTGCAGAGGCAGCAACAGCTGCCAACTGGCCACTGGCTTCTTTCCAGGTACCCAGATTTCCCAGTTGAGGTCCTTTGTGATGCAAACGGCCACACTAGTTGCTAGACCTGGCCACTTTACAAAACACCAGACAGCGGTCAAATCCCCCTCTCCTGGTCTGCCGTCTGCAGAAGCCACCAGGCCCTTGAGGGCCCGTTAGCGGTCCTGAGCTGTCCCAGGACTGGGACCCCCGGGTACTCAGCTGTTTTTGGAATGGTTGAATACACCCGCTCAGTCTTCACCAACCGCTCAAAGAAACCCCCATAGCCACTAACTCCCCCCAAACGTCTCAAGCACTGATGACCAGAAGCCCCACTCACTCACTTTTGTCCTCCATTCAAAAAAGTCACTTCAGACGCGGGCTTTTGGTGCAGCGAGTGGGGACGCCTCAATGGGAAGCCGGCTGGCGTCCCGGCTGCTTCTCTTCCCATTCAGCGCCCTGCTGATGCAGCTGGGAGGCAGCAGATGGTGGCCCAGGTGCTTGGGCCCCTGCCAGCCCGTGGGAGACCCGGATGGAGCAGCTCCCTTTCCCGCTTCCTCTCCCCCTCCCCCATCCCCTCTTTCTCTGTCACTTTGCCTTTCAAATGAATCATTTCGAAGAGTCACCAGATAGCACAGATCCCCGAGATACAGGGGTTACAGAAAAACAAGGACCCTCACAGACCACCACCCGCTATTTGGAGCCCCTAAGCTGAAACTGACTCCACCACGCATCACACCCTTGTCAGCGCCCCCGGCCCTCAGGCTCCGCTGAGGCGCGGACTCAACAGTGGCTATGGGAGCCCCGCATTATGCCGTCATCGCCTCTGTGAGGTAATGTGGGCGGATCCTTTTTACTGGGTTTCACGGGGAGCGCCATCATTAAAGACGGAGTGCAGAGGAAATTACCTTGTTCCCAGGCCAACGTATGCGTCTCTCTCTCGTGGGCAGAAGCGATTCTAACTCGCTGCCGACCTACCCCCGACTGAGGAAACCGCCATCTTGACAGCTCCTGCTATGGGCACTGCGCATGCTCTGTCGCGGTTCCGCAGACTCTTCCGGCAGTGGGCGTGGCCCGGGCCTTCTTGTCGCTTGGCCGGAAGCTCTGTGGCGCTCAAGTCATGGCGGAGGGGTTGGGGCTGTTCAGTAAAGAACTTGTACCTGGGAGAGGCTGTAAGTGGAGCAGGCAAGTGTCACTAATACCTACAAGTTTAATGACTGTAGAATAAAACGGGAAATAAGCTAAGATAAAACTAAATTTTAAAGATTATTTGAAGCCGGCGCCGCGGCTCACTAGGCTAATCCTCCGCCTAGCGGCGCCGGCACACCGGGTTCTAGTCCCGGTCGGGGCGCCGGATTCTGTCCCGGTTGCCCCTCTTCCAGGCCAGCCCTCTGCTGTGGCCCGGGAGTGCAGTGGAGGATGGCCCAGGTGCTTGGGCCCTGCACCCCATGGGAGACCAGGAAAAGCACCTGGATCCTGGCTCCTGCCATCGGATCAGCGCGGTGCGCCGGCCACATCGCGCTGGCTGCGGCGGCCATTGGAGGGTGAACCAACGGCAAAGGATTTCATGGAAAATGCATGTTATAAAAATCTGCATAATTTCAATTCTGTAACCAAAATAATTTTTAAAATTCATTTATTTATTTGAAATTCAGAGTTACACACACAGAGAGAAGGAGAAGCAAAGAGAGAGAGAGAGGTCTTCCATCTGCTGGTTCACTCCCCAATTAGCCACAATGGCCGGAGCTGCACTGATCTGCACCGATCCAAAGCAAGGAGCCAGGAGCTTCTTCCAGACTCCCACACAGGTGCAGGGGTCCAAGGACTTGGGCCATCTACTACTGCCTTCCCAGGCTAAAACAGAGAGCTGGGTTGGAAGTGGAGCAGCCAGGACTCAAACTGGTGCCCATATGGGATGCTGGCACTGCGGACCATGGCTTTACCTGTCACACCACATCGCTGGCCCCAAAATAATCTTTCAATTCCACTTTTCCATGAACTCTTTTGAAGTACCCTTATATTGTTTCTCCTTGCAGATCTGCTGATGCTGGCTTTAGTTAGGTCTTTTGAATTTGAATGTACATATATGTGTGTGTGTTTACATTGATATATTTTCCTGTTCTGGACTTGTGACTTATTTTTTTAGTAGAAAGCTTTTATTTAATAAATATAAATTTCATAAGTACAACTTTTGGATTATAGCGGTTCTTCCCACCATACCCACCCTCCCATCCCCAAACCATCCCATCTCCTACTCCCTCTCCCATCCCATCCTTCATTAAGATTCACTTTTAAATTATCTTTATATAGAGAAGATCAACTCTATACTAAGTAAAGATTTCAACTGTTTGCATCCACACAGGCACACAAAGTATAAAGTACTGTTTGAAGACTAGTTTTACAGTTAATTTTCATAGTACAACACATTAAGGACAGAGGTGCTACATGGGGAGCACGTGTACAGTGACTCCTGTTGTTGATTTAACAGTTGACACTCTTATTTATGAAGTCAGTGATCACCCCAGGCTCTTGTCATTAGCTGCCAAGGCTATGGAAGCCTCTTGAGCTCACAAACTCCGACCTTATTTAGACAAGGCCATAATCAAAGTGGAAATTCTCTCCTCCCTTCTGAGAAAGGTACCTCTTTCTCTGATGGCCCCTTCTTTCCACCAGGATCTCACAGAAATCTTTCATGTAGATCATTTTTTGCCCTTGTGACTTATTTTGCCTCAGGTAATTATAATCACTTCTGCACTATTATTAGCCTGCATGGAATTTCCTGCTCCATCCCTTCACTTTTTGTGTCCTTAAATTTAAAATGACTTCCCTTTAGAGATCATATAGTTGGGTCCTCTAAATTTTTATATTTTATCTGTTTAGCCATTTAATACTTTTACATATAATTATTATAATATAATACATTTACATATAACTTGATAGATGATGCCTTACTACTGCTATTTTGCTAACTGGCTTTCTGTTCTGTAGACATGTATAAAGAAACATGCACATTTATAAAAGTGCAAATTCCAGCACAAGTAAATCTGGTGAACTCGGATCATCTACTGTAAACTCTGTCCATAAGGAGTTTCTCCAGATGACCTTGCTGGCCTGGAAGATTCTCAACTGACAAGTTGTACTGAATGACCTACCACTTACCACACTGTGAGCACAGAAAACAACTCTGTTTGTGAATCCTTTGAGGAAATTCATCAGCTTAAAAGCTTGATGAAGGACATCTTTAGAAAGGATTTTAGGGGCTGGCACTGGGTGCAGCAGGTTAAAGTCCCAGCCTGCAGAGCCAGCATCCCATATTGGTACCAGTTCAAGTCCTGGCTGCTCCATTTCCGATCCAGTCCACTGTTATGGCCTGGGAAAGAAGTAGAAGATGGCTCATGTGCTTGAGCCCCTGCACTGGCATGGGAGACCTGGAAGAAGCTCCTGGCTCCTGGCTTCAGATTAGCTCAGCTCAGCTCTGGCCATTGCAGTCATTTGGGGAGTGAACCAGTTATGGAAGACCTCTCTCCTTAACTGTCTTTCAAGTAAATAAAAATTTTTTAAAAAAGGAATGTCAATATATAACAAAAGTCAGGTGCCACGGGACCAAATCTGTGTACTTTAAACTCTATCTAATGAAGTAAATGATGATACAGAAAAGGGAAATTCTCCAAGATTTCATGTTTGTGATAAGGAAGTGGTACGTATTGTCAAGATTCTTTTTTCTTTTTAAAGATTTTATTTTTAAAGATTATTTATTTATTTGAAAGTCAGAGTTACACAGAGAGAGGAGAGGCAGAGAGAGAGAGAGAGAGAGAGAGAGAGAGAGAGAGGTCTTCCATCCGATGGTTCACTCCCCAATTGGCCGCAAAGGCCAGAGCTGTCCTGATCTGAAGCTAGGAGCTTCTTCTGGGTCTCCCACGAGGGTACAGGGGCCCAAGGACTTGGGCCATCATCTACTGCTTTCCCAGGCCTAGCAGAGAGCTGGATGGGAAGTGGAACAGCCAGGTCTTGAACAGGCAACCATATGGCATACCAGTGCTTCAGGGCAGGGCATTAACCTGCTGCGCCACAGCATGGGCCCCATATTGTCAACTTCTTGATTGTCATTCTCTCATTCTCCTATATGGACATTCGTATTCAGAGTGATAGTCCTAAAGAGATTTGCATTACTATTTTCATGACAAATTCAGTCCTAACCACCCAGAAACACTCAATAAATGTATTTCCTATTCATAAATTATTTCTTAAGTTTATATATTCTGGCTTAAAATGTTCTTAAAATAAAACTTGCTAACATTTTATATGTTATTGACCAAATTCTTGATTCTCCGAGATAAGTGCTGTTGTTATCCTTATTTTACAGATGAGGAGACAATAAGCACAACAGGGAAAGTCCTTTCCAATTCATCACACTAAATGGTAGCATCAGAACCTGCATTTTGTCCAGCTGCAAAGATAACTGCTAACCATGATACTTCATGAAAAAAGTTCATCTTGACCTTGCTCGTCCAGTCCTCAACATTTATTTTTCCTGACACTCATTGACATATTTCACTGGTTTTAGCCTCTTAATTGTGATTTTGCCACTTCCATGTTTAAATTGATTTTATAGATATTACTTTTGAGTAGATATTAAAAATACAAATAGTATAGTGACTAGCATGCAATGTTAGGAAAGACTATCCAAGGTCAAATGTTGCGTTCATTAAGGCAAGAATGGCTCAATGATAAGATGAAAGATGATGTATTTGTGCTTATCCCAGTAACAATACAATGATAGCACTCACTGAAATAATTTTGAAACATGTTTAAGAGTCAAAATAGGCTGTATTGTGTAACTGGTAAAGCTGCCACCTGGGACTCTGCCATCCCACATGGGCACTGGTTCAAGTCCCAGCTGTTCGACTTCTGATCCAGCTCCCTACTAATGTGTCTGGGAAACCAGTGGAGGATGGCTCAACCACTTGGGTCCCTGCCCACATGAGGGAGATCCAGAAGGGGGTTCCTGGCATCAATCTGGCCCAGCCTTGACCACTTCAGCCATCTGGGGAGCGAACAAGAGGATGGAAGATCTCTCTCCCTGTCTCTTCCTCTAATTCGGACTTTAAAATACATAAATAAATAAATCTTTAAAAAGGCAAAACACTAAGAATGAAATAATTACTACAGTTTACATGATACAGCTGATGAATAATGAAAGATTAAATAAATGTCTATGAGGAATAATGTAGCAATTAATGAAATAGACTCAAAAGACACAATTCAAATTGGCATTCCAAAGGCACAATATGTGTCCTAAGTTTGATAGATTTCTTGTAACCTTAGGGATATATAGAACACCTCAGGAATCACTGCCTAATTTTAATTTCATTAGTATCATGAAGAGTTTTTATCCTGTGGAGACCTAATTACTGTGTCTATTAAACACATTGGAGACACTGCCTCTGATACATTGCCTACAGAATTAAATCATTTGATAAATTGTACTTATTCATATTACCCATTACCCTGAAAATACTGACTAGCTTGTAATCTTACATGAGGAATTTTTATTACCACCTGCTATCCCGAAAATACTGATTCTTGTAGAGTGACGGTATTTTGGACTTACGATTGTGATTGGTTAATGCCCCAAGATGCTCAATAGTCTTTATTGTGGTAGTCTTATTTCAAGATCTTACAAACACCTGATGTTCTCTAAAGCTGCTTTACAGATCTCCAGTCACATTCTATGAAGGGATGCATGTTAGAACCTTTTAGGCCACTAAGGGCTGATACAGCCCCTTAGGTCTCTGAGCCTGAACCACCAGGCCCAATGAAACTAGGCAGATCAGCAATATAAAGGCTAGTGAAGTGTCTATCGCTTGGGAAAACCCCACAGCTGGG